AGGCACCATTTTTTTCCTTTAAAATGCCATGATATGGAGATTTGTTGATTCATATGACTGTTATGTGTGCTTGTGGGAAAAGAACTAAAAAGATACATAAAACTAGAAGTCAGTGGCAGAATTACAGATACAGCCTTCTTGGGGGCTCTGAACACCCTGGAAAAGGCAGATAGCCCCTCCAGCCCCCTGGATGAAGGGCTGAGCTCTGAGCAGGCACAGTGCTGGGACCCCCGCAAAGGGCTGAGTGGTAACCCCCATGACACTCCCCAGTGAGTTGCAAAGGCAGAAGGACCTCCTGCACTTAGGTTTTTCTGCCAGGAGAAATGATCTGGCAAGTCTGTGAACCATTCTCCTGGACCAGTTTGGCAACAGCATCTTCTACAAGAGCATGGTTTTTTAATGGCATTTATTCATATTTTCATGTTTCCCTAATTGTTGTATTTGAGAAGATTATTTTTTTTTCCTGGTTTTGCCCAAATACTTTCCTAGTGTTGTCATAAGTGGATGCAACATCATATTTTTCCAGATTCCCGTATTGAAATGTCTGCTGTCCACATTTCAGAAGGGGAGTACGGATCATCCATATAAAACAACCAACACTGTCATTACTTACAGCAGCACTGGTATGTTAAATTAACTTTGAGGTAGAAAAAGTTTTAAAATCCCTTTTGAAACCTTTCCCCAAGCTATGTTAAACAGGTCACCTTTTCACCAGTTCAAACAGTATATATGGATGTGATAAATTTTTTAGAGACATCTTTAAAAATCTGCATCTACGTTGACACTGGCAGTTAATGTATGCATCTGTGTATGTGTCTAAACTAGTACGTAAAGCTATTTCAGCTATGATGCTTACGGTTGATTAAAATGATATCATTATATCTCTTTCTCTGATCACAGATTAGCGTAATGCGTTATCTTGATTCTCAGTAACTTCCAACTTTGATGTTATATTTAATAAAACATAATGCTGTGTTGGAGAATCCCTTGGGAATCTTCAATTTCTTTTCTTTTTTTTTTTTTTTTTAAATATATATTACATTTTAAATGGGATTAAATTGTCTGATTAGTGAAGCAGGCTCTTGCTGTAACAGATAAACCCTGAATTCCTCAGGGCGATATAAAGCCATTGTTAAAGCATCTTTCCAAGATGCAGGCGAGCTCAGCAAACCCCATGAGAGTTAAGCAAAACATTTTCCTCGTGCCGAGGCTGGTTTCATGCTCCAACCCCAAGCTTTGCTTTTTTCATTCATCTTCCTCCACACAAACCCTTGATTTTGCCCATAGAAATGATGGTAAGGCTGAGCTGTAAAACAGGTGACAGAGCTGATGCAGCTTTCAAAGACAAAATCTCCCCACCACCCCAAACCCAAGAGCTACGTGGAGAGTTGCCTGCACAGAGCTATGATCTTTGAGAGGCTGTGTCACCACAGAGCATCATTCGAAAGACGCAGCAAGGCCAGCTTCAGCCATCATCCCTAGCAGGTACCATGGCTCCTTACTGCTCATGGGCTTCGTGCTGCCTTGAATGTGAGCTGGGATTAGGTCGTCGTGAGACAGGTTAGTTTTACCCTTGGGGTGGGACAGCACTGCTGCTTCTGGGCACCCAGGCACTGCCAGGAAACTGGTCAGAACCCAAGAAATAGGGTACTTAGCCCAGAAGAGCCTAGTTGGTAATGTATAAGGCCTTGTCATGGTCCATGTGCCCGAACGGTCCTTAAACAAATGCTTGGTCAGGCTCATGAAGTACACGGTGAGGAGCAGCGGCGAGCTAAGCTGCCTGCAGTCACACCATAGCCTGGGAAGGCAGCGAAACTGCTCCTTTGTGTGGGCTGGGAAGAGACATTGCTGAGGTGCAGTTCAAACTTGGGCTTGGCACTAGGGTTATCCTATTAAAAACAGTTCTGGAAAACGCTTAACAGTAGTTGATAAGCAGGTGAAGCTACAAAGGGTGGGTTGAGACAGGGGCAAGAGGAGGAGAGCAAGGCTGACAGGCAGGTGGATCTTCTCCCAGCCCTTCTTACGCTCTGGCAGCTTCTGGTTGGGACAGCTCTGCCGTCTGCCCTTCTGCAATTTCTGCAGCATCCAGCCTTGCCCACAGTAGCTCTTCTTATGTTTCATTGTCTCCAGCAGATTAGTGGCAGCAAGTGGAGCTTAATAAACTCTGTCTGAAGATGGCTAGACAACTCTCTGAGAGAGGAGGTCCTTCTTAGCCTGTCAAGCAGTAACGGTAGCCTTGAGAACCTTGGGCAATGTCATTATGCTCTTTATTACATTTTATAAAGACTATATATTACAGAAGTAAACATTGTAAAGTTGGACAGTGACAGGCCAAGCAGCTTTTGCCATGCTGCAAGCATAGGAAAATTCTTCATCGCTTTGGCTCTTATTGCCTAACACAATTGTCTTTAAAACACTCAATCAAAGTATTATGCAAGAAGAAAAATTAAAAAGTGCAATAGCCTGACTAGCGAAACAAAAATCCATATTAAAATGACATAAATACAAAGGAACTTTTAACTCACTATAGTTCTGCCTTTTGAGTTGTCAGGTTTTTAATATTTCTTTGGAAACAGATAGGTAGATAGACATATATATAACATTGCTGTGATATATGCTTCTAAGCCTGTAATTTGTTGAATAATATTCCATGAAAAGTTATACATAAATCCACCTAATTATTTTATAAATAATTCAAACATTTAGTGTCATGATCGTGTTCCTACCTAAAGAATGCTGAAGTCCCCCTGCACATGGCACAAGGTAGAGCTTTATAATGCAACTGGGTTTTTTGATCCTTCAGCACCCAGACCCAGTTTGGACATCATTTATGTACCTAAGCAGATTACACGAGTGAATAACACAGTCGCCTTTTCAGAGAGCTACTCATGTGTAAAGTTAACTTTTTCACAATATGATCAGCAGAAATACTCACAGTGTATAAGGTGATGTTTTAGCGTTTTCAGGGTTGAGCCAGAAAACAAGGAATAGAATGGGAGAGGAGAGGAGAAGGTTTACATATTTTCAGGACCTAAAGAAGGTGACATGGGACAGGAGTAGCATTTTTTCTCTATGTCTACACAGTAGAAAAATATCTCTTCAAATTTACACAAGTAAAAATGTTTCCTTCATAGGTGATCCTTCCCCTCCTGATCACTGGAAGAGAAGATTACCAAGCCAATAGGAAGAAACATTCCACAGTATTACTGGCAATTAAGAAAAATAACAATTTTAAAGCTCTGGGAGAAGAAATGAAGGATCTGCTTGCATAGATGTAGTAAGTGAGGCTGATAACAACACAGCAAGTCATTGCTAGCACAGACCCTGGAGGCACCATTTTGAAAACAAAGCAGGTCCAGGGAGTCTGATAGAACAGAAGCAATAGGAAGAGCCCTCACAACCCATCCCTATGTTTTTGCTATCTTTGGTGACCAAGTTTTAAGAATTTATTTGATTACCTTCTGCTTTCCAACTGGTACCTAAATAGCTGACTCCAAAGTGAACTGTAAATTGCATCACCAGCTGTTTGAGTTGAGGTAAAAAGCAGGCTGGTAAGGCAGGCCAGGATCCTCGCATGGGCATATGCAAGACCTAAGCCCAAGGCACTGAAAACCTGAGTCAACAACAATGATTCCCCAAACTGGGCTACTACTCATGAATGTGCTAGTCAGCAGCAAGGACTTCTGGCATTCTTGGCAGCATGTATGTCCCCTCTCAGCTACTAAAATCAGGGTACAAACTCTGGTCATGTCCTCTCTTCCTCTCTCTTAAGTGTATTGCCCCCAACCCCTCCAGGTCCCCACTGTCCACCCAAGCCAGGACCTGACCCCCTGCCTGCTGCAAGAGTTGCCCTAGCAAGGAGGAAACAGTTCTGCAGTGGTTCCAGTGCTGTTGGGAATATGCATACCACAGTTCAAAAATATTTGGTATTAAACATGAAAGATCTGAGCCTAGCATGGAGCAGCAAGAGTGACATTTAAGGCAGCAAACATCAGGCATTTTAGAAGAAATCGCTATCCAGGACATAGAAACAACCCCATAAACTACAAAATGACAGAATCTGTCCCACTGGAAAGCAGCCATGAGAAGGGAGCTTTTGCAAATGCATCTCTGATCTGAGAGATAAAATTAGAACACTTAAAGCTGGCTGTTGTGAAACTGATTTTGCATAGTCCACTAATTTAGAGAGTTTAGATAAGTGTTTGAGTTGATGTCCTGACTTTTCTGAGGACAATGACTGTATTGATACTACCTTTAATGGGGCCAGGATATCATCCCTGAACTTTGTGCTGTTGACCCAAAGCAGCCAACATCAAGTCATGTCAGTGCTCATATGAGCACAAGAATTAATTCAGTACAGTACTCAATTTGCTAAGGAACTTTCCCATTAGTAGGCAAACAGTATCACTTTGCTCAAGACCCATACCTGCTTGTTTGAGGAAAGTCTCTATGGAAATATTGCTATCACAGTTTATGTGAAAAATATCTCCAGGAAAAAAATTTAGTAGTGACAATTCAAATGACAAACTGTAAGCCGTGGAACTCAGGAATAGAACTGGCTTGAAGGAAGCAAACATTTTTCCTCTGAAGAAAACTTCGATTTTTTCAGGGAAAAAATAAAAAAAAAGGTCTTAATCCCAAAACATAGTATTTTGTTTCTAAGCAGTGGCAACAATATCTTGAGTTCAGGAGTGTCTGGTTCCTTCTCTCTGGAAGGTAGCTTGAGGGCCTGTCTCCTTCCATAAATTACGTTTCTATGATGTTCCTGTTCTTTATAAAGAAACATAGGAAACGAACCCCATTTGCAAAAACTTAGCTTCAGTTGAACCTTCCTCCACCTTGACTGTTGGACAATATTTGAAAAATCCTTATAAAAAAAGTTCATCTTGCTAACATTTCTATACTGATAAAATAAATTTTAAGCAAATAGAAGAATGTATATGGTTTTGTATATATATATATTTGTATATACACACAGAGACATATATAGATTTGCAGTAATTAAATTGGTCGAAAGAAACTGAATCTCCATTTGAGACAATTCCACCATGTAAAAATTAATTAATGAACAAGGTATAAATAAATACCAATTAAATATGTATTGTTCTGTTGGGAAAGAAAGGGCTGTTTTGTTTTTTCCCCTCTTAGTATTAGTTATGTGTTAAAGTTTTTACGCTGCAATAAAATATGTTTTTTTATGAATATTGTTAGAAGTCAGATGAAAAACTCAGCTCGTCTGCATGTATAACATAGCTAAATGTCTTCTACTCCTTGATTGCTCTTTTTATCCAGACAAGTCAAATTATACCGGTACTCAGTTTTTCAGTCACATATTCTTCTTCCCTTAAAATCACAAGTCACCCTGAGCTGTCCAGAACATGAGGACAAACATACGCAATACTTACATTTCTCTGTAAGACCCAGACACTAAGAAATCCCTAGATTAAAACTTACATAGTATTTCAGGCTTAAAAATAAGTCTAGGTGAAGCTACCTTCAGCACAAGGCAAAAAATTACCCTTTGGGGAAAAAACTGCCTACACTGTAAACAGGAAAAAGTGCTGTAATATTTCAGAGTATCATGGTGCTGGGAATTCCCTCTGCAAGCCTCTGATTTTCACCATACATTGATTTTTATCATAAGCTGTTCTAAAATTAGAAGAGGCCACGATCTGACAAGTATCCTTTTTGTTTAGTCGTAGCAGATGGAAAACATGAAGTGCTTTCTCATCTTGGAACCATTCCAAAACCTGAGGCACTAATCTGACATATTAAACTGAATTTATATGAAGTCTTGTGTCTTTACATCATGCAACATCATTTATGGCATGCTGGGCAGTGACAGTTTAAGTTATGAAAATGCTGTATCACAAAGCAGATCAGAGCTGGCTTTATAGTAGGTCTCATGAATTTCTTCATCCCAAAAAAATAAATTTTGTGTAGGAGCATTCTCCATAGCACCCCTGCAGAGCAATAGATTAAAACTGGATTTTAGCATTTACCTCTTGCTCAACAGTAAATCAGGAATTAGAATTGATAATGGCAGTTATCCATCAACAGCAATGCAACTGCAGATGAGCAGGAGTAGTTTTATAGATAAAAGGAGTTTCTTTTTTTTTTGTTATTAGTAAAGAAAACCTATCATTTTCTATTTTGAATGTTTCTAGGCTCTGAATAGAGAGTGATTAGATCCATGCAGGTCATCATCATGGATACGAAAGATGCATTTGAAGTAACACCTCTCCAGATTGCAGAATGTTATTCTCAAACTCCTGAGCTCAGTTGCAGCAGTTCACATTGCAGACCCCTCTTGACAGAAGACCTGGAAGAGATGTCTACCACAGCCGGCAGGATTCTGCCCCTCGGTTCATCATTGTGTTTGTTGGGCAATTGAAAGCTTTACGGAACTCTTCAAAGTTGCTCATGGCACCAATAACTCTGCAAAGAGAAAAGTGATCAACTGATTCTGTGATTCTATGACATTCAGTGTGTCTTCTGTTAAACATTACAGGCCTGTGTTTCAGTGTGTTCACTTCAGGTTGAATTTTTAGGCTTTCCATATACTTTTTCCACAAGTAAAACCAAGAGAAGCACTCCCAGTTAAAGTTAATGTGAAGACAATCTTGTCTCATTTGGTGCTTTGAAAAGCATCTTACTTTGCTAGAAACTCGGTGAAAAACAATTGCACTTTGTGGATACTATGTCATTTAGAACAATTTTCTAATCTGAGCCTTGGTGGCAAAAGTGGGACATCAGCAGTAGCCTTGCACGGAGGAACCCTTCTTCCAGCACCTGCCAAACTGCTGCAATCCAGCAGGCAGGAGCATGTAAGCACACACTGTGGTTGAGCTGGAAGAAGCTTGATTTGTCTCATGCCAGGGGGGCAGGCAGGGCCTCTCTTATCAGCTGTCTCAGTCTTACATCTCCGAGCACCGCAACTCCTCTGGTATTTTGTAAATACATATTCTGAGGCTTCTGCCCCAACCAGCCCCCAAGCTCTCTTGCTTCCCCCACAGATGCCGTGACACGAAAAGAGCAGCACATCCCTGCCTCACACAAGTTAGACAATGTGTCTGCACCCCAGACTGTCACCTTCAGGCAAAGGGGAAGAGCTCACTCTTTGTATGCAGTACATCCTTGACTCCTGCTTTCAGGTCTGTATTATTTCATGCTGTCAGAAATTATTATTTTACCATTGCTAGATTGGGATTGTGTTGCTTGCTATTTTTTCCTAAGATTTTAAGCATTTTGGAATTTACTAGCCTGAAATTTGCAATGGTATTACAGTAAACAGCATCCTGAGTTAAAAGCAGAAAAGTATCTACCAAGATATTAACTGTAAGCCTTTCCACCCTCTTTGTTATGCAGTGGGAAGGCATTTTTCTCCATTGCAGACAATCAGCTTCTCAGCGTAGCTCAGCATGGTAGAAAACATTCTTATTACATTGATTAGACTTTCTGTGGGTAAGAAAATTTGCAGTGAGCTGGCACAAAAATGTCTAAAGGTCAGTTCTGTAGGGAGAACTATGAGGTTAGGTTTCAAATAAGATATGCAGCTTTACTGTAAAAGCGTTGCAAATACATATTCAGGGACTGGAACAGCAAAAGCCGGTCATGCAGAACTGCTGCTGAAGTTGGTGGGAGTTCTGCCTGCCATGCCAGGGATTTCACTGTGAAACCAGCATTCAAAAATAGTGAAGACACGTGTTAATACTGAAAATCTGCCAATTAAAATTAAATAAATCCAGAATCTAGCCAGCAAAAGATCTTTATATGTCCATGCACATGACTTTCCTATCCATGGTTTGATATTGCCACACACAGACTGTGGAATCAGTGGGCTGTCTGGATTTCATCCCGTTGAACTATAGTAGAGACACCTTCCCCTGAACAGGTCACCCTGGGCCCCCTTGGCAGCCAATAGAAAGATGCACTTTCAGAATATAAGTAATTTAAATTTATTACTTACAGAAGGACGATCTACATATATATCTAATCTATATAGTTTTATCTATAATTTCAAAATTCTTATTCTTTTTTGACTGTGAAAAGAACCTGGTGTGACTAGTGCAGATGAATACACCTGTGTTCAGGATATATCTTTGTCATTTCTATCATCTTTTATAGTTACTTTTTATAATTACCTTTAAAAGGGCTGTTTGGGCTTTTTGGATAGCAAGAGCTGTCAATGTTGAAACCAGCTGTTATAATGGTCTTGGGACATACGTGAAGCAAAGTTGGGAGAAATAGATTATATCATTTGTTAGCCAAGTTGGTATGGTTTGCAAGAAGAGACAAGCACCACAGTTTACCTTCAGGTTTGAAGCAGAAGCCTGTTCCAAGTACCTCACATAAAAACTAAGAAAAAATTTTGTCTGTATTTTCTACACTCCAAATTCATCTAATCTTCTCTGGAATTTTCTTTCTTAGCCTGATTCCTTCATGAGTTTTCCTCATGAATTCTCTATCCACAGGCTTCCCTGTATAATTTGTGATTTGCACCATCTTATGGGAATGTAGCTCTGTAATGATTCAGAATGTATAAATATACATATAGGTAAATAAATCTGAAGACTTTAAGTGGAAAGAGATGACTATTTTACCAATATGTTAACAAGGGTAGAAATTATTAAAAGTATCACTTTGTAGGCTGAAGATCAGCCAGAGACTCCTGTCTTCATGGTCATGATGAATTTTTAATTGTTAAAAGGCATGCAGGTTTGCATACTGCACTAGTTTTACCCTAGATAGCTGGTGTAACAGGTATTGCAAAGGTACATTAGTACAGGTTTCAATGCAGAATATAGTAGCCTGCCAAGACCAAGCATAAACATCTGCAATGCTAGCTTATATTAAATTTGTTTCATAATGTTTCTAGTTTCATTATTTCTTAACCCGTACTGGTTTTAAGTAGCCCAAGGTGTGTTATGCATGACGTGTCAATATCTTCAGCTTTGGCATGGCTGTGTCCAAGGAATACGTCAGAGTACATGTGAAGCAACCTCACAGCTCCCCTGTGAAGGCAGTGTTATTATTTTTACTTAACCAAGAGAGAACTGAGGCAAAGGGGGCTAATATCACCTAAATTTAGCCATGGAGAAGGTGGGATCCCAACTCCCTCTTTAGTCAACAGAAAGCAGTGGGAATCTCTAGAAGGCAACTAATCCAGTGTATTGGAGACACCTCCATTATGAATCAGCTTGTGGAGTTAATATCCTTCCCCCAAATACAGAGGTAATGTAGCACTTGACTGAGGACAAACACGTAATTCTTAATTAAGTAAATGCAACCAACAAGAGTCCCAATAGAAACAACTGGCTCTTGGTCACACAAACTCTGTGGAGAAGCAGAGAAATAAACTCTGACTTCCTAATTCTTATGCAGTCTTTAAAGCTTCCCCCTTTCCCAGTCTCTCCTTCTTGGCGCTCATGGGTGTCTGTGGTTACAGGAGCCTGTGGGAGGCCTTTTGGGCAAAGACACAGACATTCTGTTATGGCTGGACTACCACAGTTCCTTCAAGCAAAGTATCTCTGGAAGGCCAGCTGAAGAATTTAATCTTGAATTGAACTTACAGGGCATGATTTGCTTTGCATTATCAATATAATTCGAGGTATTCACTTTAAAGATTTTAATGAACTCAGACAGATTAAATCAAGGACCCTCCTAGTATTCACTGTTTTCTAAATTAGAATTGCATAGGAAAAAAAAAAAGTGATAAATGAAACTCAGGCCACGATTACATGACATCACAAGGGTCAGAGTGTGTTCTGGTTCAACTGCTTTTGAAGGTAGATGCAAGGTCCTCATTTTTACAGAAGAACATTTGTAATAGCTAAAGATAAGATAATAAAACCAGTTCAATTTCAATCTAAGCCAAGACAACAGTCCAATTTTGTGCTTGCTCTTAAACCCCTCTTATCATGCTAAATTTCTGCACTTGAGTGCTGCAGTGATTGATTCTGTATGTATACTCAGTAAATACGTTATTTGCACTACCTGAACTGAGGAGGGCTGTGAGCTCCAATATATATTTGCTCTCTCGCAGATTCTGGTCTAAAAGAGTTGCATCTTACCTAATAAAAGATAAAAAGCAGAAATAAACATGTTATCTGGGATGACTTTCTAAGTAAAGCAAAATGTAATGTCACTGTTGTTAAGATGCTTATTACTTGCAGAATGCACAAAATGGAAAGACACCACAAACTCCTATTTTGTTTCACCTTTGCTAACTTGCAGTTTTTTGTTGTTTTTTTTTCACTTGTTTTTCAAATCCCTTAATGGATCCAGTCTCCATCCAGTGTTATTCTCCATCCACTCATTCCCATCATCTAATCAGATCCACTTTACTAGTTCTTCTTTTGAAGTTCTCTATAATGGTAGCTTGCTTTGCAGCTTTTGCTGCAGCATCTCACGCCTTAGTAATTACAAAGCATACTTCTTGGTCTCAGAGATATATAATGTGTATGAAAGGTACATGTAATGACTCTTATCTTCTCTAGAATTGCAGCTATATTACCTGATATATTTGTTCCATGTTGGAATCTCAGTTTCTTTTGAAATTACACATTTTTCAAGCTTTCGTCAGTGGTCCCCAATTCATTATTTCTGATATGATAAATGACCCAATTGTAACTGACCACAAAACAGGGTAGAAAGAATATTTGCACAGCTGAATAATCCCTCTTATGCTATATCCATTGCATGAAAAATCTCATTTAAGCAGCCCCTACTTTACCTAAGACCCTGTGTTGAATGTTTCCCATCAACAAAATCCTTTAAGACAGACTGCCTAGAGGTTATGTGGACTTCAGTGCAATTGTGTCTGGCTGAAGACAGAGCTAGCAGTTTGAATGAGTCTGTTGAGTGTCTGGAGTTCTGTAGAAATAGGCTGAGCTCAAGGGTACAGTGCTCTCACTGTGCATATGCCTCCCCTCAGCAGGTCAACTGGATTTAGGATTCCTGCAGTGGTCCTCTAAGACCCCCATATCTTCCTTATGGCTTCAAATTTTTCTTGGAGGGAAACTGACAGTGTGAAACTCAATTCAGCATAAATAACCAAAGTGGAGGCTTTTCATTGGTCAGTGTTGTCAAACTGAAGTGGCCATAAACCCATACACTGCTACAGTGACTCTCAGCAGAGAAATTCTTCTCAGCCAGGGTTGGTTGCATTGGTTGCATTGGCTCCTGTTTCTTCAGTTTGAGATGATTCATCTCTGCAACTGTGGGCAAAGTTTTATAGCCCAGCTTTTATTTCTCATATAGGGAGTTTGTCTCAACTCTTTTAGCCAAATAATTTACTTCTGATTCTCTCCCTTGTTCTATATGTTTTTCTAAAAATCTCACATCCCTATCAAAGTTTTGCTACGGCATATTTAGTGTACAGCAAACAAAGATGGGAAAAAATAACTAAGATTTTTTTCCACTGCTGCTTACTTTCCTTGAACAACATGCTCAGTAATGAATGGTGGTAATACATTGGCAACAGGAGTCTGTGGTGGAAGCAATCAGAAAATGCTGCATATTGCAAGCACCAGAAATCTGGGAATATAAAATGGAAAGAGGCTAAGAAGGCAATATGTGCAAGAAGACCCTTGTAGTGCAGGGAAGCAGCAAGAGGAAAGCAAGATGCTGTGACAACACTCTGCAAAACCAAGAATAATTTCAGCAGTTCTGGCAGTATGGATAGATGAGGACAGAGAGAAAAAGAGAAAAGAAATAATAGCCCTGGGAGAAGAAGTCTGTGCTTATACCCTGAAAAATCTGGGTTTGGCTAGTGTAGCTTGTTGAAACAAAGGAGTCTCATCTCTGCACTGTACGTTGTGCAGGTTAATAGATGGGGACTTGAAACACATTTGTATTACTCACATGGGCATAACTCAGGAAGAAAAGCTGGTTGTGTGTGAACTCAAGGCCTGGCAGTAAAGGCTCCTCTTCTCCTCCCCTCTTTTCTGCAATCCATCTCCTGTATGCCTGATAAGAAAGAGATATTAAGTTCCTTTCAGCAACATGGAACCTGACCACAGCTTTTTATTTCTTTTAAATAATACTATGTTTCAGATACTTTCATATACTTACCCTGAAAGCCTCCCGCAAACCGCCATTATCTGCAATGTTTTCTGCCAAAGTCCTCTTGCCTTTCACCTGGCAGAATGAAAGAACTTCAGTCATTTGACTCATTTCTGAACTTCCTTCTCGATCAACTTCAAGAAATGGGAAAAAATAAAACAAGGCAAGAATGACCTCAGCCAATTTCAATCATCATATCTATGGTTAAAAAGCTGGGTTTCAGTGTGAAAACTGTAAGTGAACTATTCTCCATGATCAGTTATCCTGGCTCAGGTCCTACATGTCTGTAACACAAAATGTAGTAGGAAAAATGCACTCAAGAATCCAGTCTCTGGTCTTTGATCTGAGCATCAATAATTTTCCCCTGAAGACTGTTTTTATCTGGTTACATGTGAGATCCAGTAGCCCCTTTATTAAACCTTTGTCTAAAAGGTTATATTTGTTTCTCTACATAACTCTTAATGTATTACTGGGATGCTAAAATAACTTTTAAGTCATAACATAAACCAGCCTAATTAAAAATAACTGTCAGAAACAGAATTTAAATTGATAGTATATTCAGTGCTCTAAAAATATCTGCAAAGGAAATTCATGTTACTTTTCCCCAGTATCAATTCCAAGAGCAAGAGAAATAGCAGCAGCAACAAGAATACACTGTGAGAAGCAGCACTATCTAAACTTTGTGGGAAAAGCCAGTATCCTGGTGTTACCAAGTGTAATATCGTTATGAAGAAACCCTCATTTCTGCAAGTGCAGCATAATCTCTGATCACCCAGCCTACTAAGGTCATAGTGCTACCAAACCGTATTTGTAATTAAGGAGTTTTACTCTATACTATGCCTCAAATAAGCAAGGTCATAGAGCAGTTTTGAGCAGAGCTCTGAAGGTCAATGGTGGCTTGCAGATCCTCTGATGACAGGCTCTCCCATGCCACAGGGACAAGTATAGGGGGCTCGGCATCGGGACTTACCTTAGTTTCAGGATGGTAAAAGAGGGGAAATGGAGGAGAAGAGGTAAAAGGACCTAGGGGATACCCAGGAATGTTTGCAGGGCCCCACCACTTGGTGCGGATGAGATTGGACTCAAGACATCTTGCTTGATGACTTGGGATCAATGTTACACCCAAGTGTGTGATAAAGGAGAAATGGGAGGAATAGAGGAAAGTGCACCCCTTTCCTGCCAGTCTTCCTTCCTCTCAAGAGGCTGGGCTTGGAGGTGGGAGAGAGGTTTTTAGGAGAAAAGGTGATGGGACACTAGGAACATGTACACACACCAGCTGCCTTTTTTTCTGGCCTACCTACTCATACATTTTTCTTGTAGTGGGCTTGTGAAGTAGACTGATTTAGAGCATAAGATGAGAGTAACCTAGCAGTGACACTTGGGCCATAGGTCATTTTAATAAGTCAAAGAAATCTTTCTGCTGATCTCAAGCAGCTCTGGGTCAGGTGTCTGAGACTACTGTGTGCAAACAGTTCGTGACAGGCCTCAGGAACCATGATAAGCCCTTTATTTGATCAGATGACTTTATATGATTACTGCACTCTGAAGCTATTTCTATATTCACTTTTTCTTTCATTACAATTCTTTTCTGGAGACACTTTTACTGTAAACCAGATGAGAAGGAAGAAAGTAAATAGGTTTCTTGATCCATGAAAAATATTCATACAGGGGTAAAAACCCTGCAGGATATTGATGTAAATTACAGGACAAAAAAAGCTCTTTGAATGTGTAGCTCTTCATACAGAAGTTATAAAGTATGGCAGAAAATATGAAGGTTCTTCTTCTATCATCTAAAAAGCGCTTTAGGTTGTCACACAGAAATAGGAGGAAAAAGCCTTGTGGATGACAAGGCTATGAGTAACAGGATCCCTCTAGTAAGCCCTTCCACAGACTTCAAAGACAGCAGCTACACTGGAGTGAAATCTCAGATCTACCCCATTTCAAGAGAGATCACAGAAGGTAGGTTCATGGCCAAGCCAATGGCAGGAGCATGGGAAGGGCTTAGACACATGCTTGGGGGAAGTTTTAATGACCTTCTTTAAGTGGCATTTTGATATTGACATTTTTTATCTTACAGATATTCAGGAATGAGCCTGAGAATTTTTTATTTGTAAATTAGCTTATATGAAGTACTTCAAGTCAGAGCTGTTGGACTTTGGACTGCAATATGGCTTTGCTAACTCTGAAACTAATACAAACAGTCTGGATTAAGTTTTAAAATTATTGCTAAGCAGTCAGTGTGACCTCTCTATTCTTAAAAACAGACATAATTGTATTACTGATTCTAAAATGTAAGTAGAGGTGGTAGAATTGAGTAGAGGGTGGGGTATTTGTTTTATCTTGAAAATTAAGATTAAAATCATGTCCTGGCCAATATTACTGGAATTTTAGCTATTGATTTCTGAAGGTCTGGGATTTATCCTAGTTATCCTTCATCTTGGACACACACAATGTGCACATTTTCAGGGAAGCCCAGAGCTCTGATAGACAATGAAACATAAACCATTCCCTTGCACTTTCTTTCTCAGTCATTTTCTATGAGCTGCTGCTATCATACTCCCTTCATTTGAGATACAAATTGGGTCTTCATGCACACATGGAAGAAATAGCAAGAGTTGAATCTGAAATAAAGCAGGGTTTATGCATCCATTTTATAGCTGTAATAAATAACAGGCAGAATTGCTAATGGACTCTATAAAACATGTTATTATATTCTTTTTTTTAAAAAGAGTGTCTGCTCAGTTTTCATTGCGGACCTCATCTTCAGAAGACATTTAACATGCTCACAGTAATTAAACCAGCCCTGTTGAGTGGCTTCATCCTCTTCCTCTGGTTCCAAAACAATGTGATGGGGACAAGTGGTTTAACCCTGTCACCAGAGTGTGGGTAGTGGTATTTGACTGGCCTAATCAAATCTGACAGACAATTTTTATCACAATTATTCATTTCAAAAAGTGATTTGTTGTGAGAAATGAAGTTGGTAACCTAATATCCCAATGTATTAGGATTTATAAAAAGATAACTTAAAAAACCCAAAACTCCTAATGCACCACTGCTCTCAATCACTGGTGTTTTACATACATGTAAGCCAGCTCTCTTCCAGTAGTAATTGCTGTATTGATTAATCATGCATTTTGTTTTCTCTTTAAATTTTTCTTCAGAGTCAGTTGTCCACCAAGGGTCTAAATTTCCATTTTTGTCATATTTCCGACCTTAAAAAAGAAAGAAAGAAAGGAAGAAATAAAACAAATGGTTTTTATGGAGAAAACCCCACATTTTTCCAGTTTTGGAATCTATCATGTGCACAGAAATGAGAGCTGAATATATTCATTCAAGTGTGTGTACAAAATGGATATGATCAGTGAGCAAAGTCTTGACCCCACTCAATTCAGTGGTGAAGAGCTGGCATTCTGTTTATTGTCATAATTTCAATTTTCAGGAAAAAATAATAATGACTAATGAGTTCTACAGTACATTCTATAATTACATAGTGTAAGAGGCATATGAGCTTTCTTGTAAGTATAATTGTGAGTATTTTTCATCCTCAGCCCATATGTCTTTGATTCGGCAAACTTGATGATAACTAATTTATTATTAATTAATTATACGCTTGACCAGAAAAAAATCCATTTCATGGAAACTTCTCAAGTTTCTATTTTTCGTTTTGGAGCAAAACCAGAACATTTGAACCCTATTCATGGAGGCAAGGAGAATACATACATCCCATTACCCAGGCTGGTGGTTAAAGCAATGGCTTGTGGAAGATTCAGCCTCAGGTCCCTGCTCTGTGTAATTTGTTAGGAGAGTATCTAATCTCCATCATGTCTCCAGCCAGTCAGACACAAGACAGAAGACATGTTAGGACTTTTTTTGAGAACAGGATTAGCTGCCCACGTGGATGCAGGCCTGCTGTGTGATTTGATTCTTCGTTACAGCTGCAGGAAAGAGAGGTAGGGAGCAACCAGTAGACACAATACCAAGTACTGAAGATGTTTTCTTTCATCTTTTTATTTCTTTGGTTTTTTTCCTTGTGTGTAGTCTTGTTCAAAATGACAAATTCCCTAGAGGTGTATTTATTTCTATATTTGGAAAGTAACAGCCTAGCCAAGAGGTAGTGGTCTGCTTAAGGAATCAAATCTTAGGTTCCTCTCTGAGTGGCTGTAGCTGTGATGGAGATCAGATACCTCCCTACAAATGACATGGGAGTTTGTGAAGAAACATTTCTCCATTCTGGAGTGTTTGCAGAGCAGTGTCAGCATGATACAGGGTTTTCCTTTTTATTAAGTAACGCAACACAAGCAACCTAACTTTAGTTAGGCAGTGAGCTAGAAGCCTGTTTTTCCTTAAACTCACTATATTTTCAGTGGAAAGAGGTTTCTCTAGACAATGAGTCAGAATGGGATGTCAGTCAGGCACTCAGAATTGCTCCCTGGAGGAGGAGGTTCGTGTTTCTCTCTCTCTCTCCCCCCGCCTCTCTCTCAGGAGCCCAATTTTAAAAAGCACTTTACTGAGACAACTAAAGTTAGATGGTGGTAATGTCCCACTCCACCCAGTTTTTCAGGACAGTTGGTTTGACATTTTCAGACCATTTCTTCTTTCTCTCTCTCTTTTTTCTTTTTTAATATTTTGCAATGCATTTTCTATTCCACTTTTTTTTCCAGTGTTGTATTTTAATATTTTATTTTGAAAAAAGTCAAAACTGAAATGAGAAGTTTTCTTGGAATTAATTTTTATCATTCATAAGTTTTCCCTTTGCCCTTCCCATTCTACCCAGACAGGACTTCCTGAATCTGTTGCTGATTTAGTTTCTATTCAAAATAAACAGAAAGCAACAAATTTGTGACATCCCTTACCAAAAAAAATCTGGTTCAGAAAAACAAGATTGTATGTAAATAAATTTTTAAAAAATTTTGTAATTGTTTTCACAGAATTCAGCATTGTTAAAAAACAGAACAATAAAAAACCTAAAGTATATACAAGTCAGCTTTCTAATCTGTCAAGTCTGTAGAAAACCCAAAAAGTTATCAACATACAGACAAATACTCACCATTGCTATCAAATCCATGAGTAAACTCATGGCCAACAATTACTCCTATGGCACCATAGCTTAACGACCTATAACACAAAGAAAAGAGTTTCCTCAGAAAGCGTCCACATTCATGGACATTAAAGGACAGAAGACCTCAGGAAAGATCTTTATTCAACTGGAGAGGAATGGTTCTAAAAATCATACCTTCACAATTTTGACAAAGTTTTTGAAAGTCTGAATGTTAAACTGTTACTTGTTTAAAAGCAACATTTAATATAAAACTTTAAAAAGCATTGTCATGGTTCACTCTTCTAACCAAATCCCTTATTAGCATCATATGAGCTCCAAAATGTCTCCTTCAGCTGACTACACTGTGTATATTCTAACTGAGAATGGGACAAAGTTATAGGTAAAATTATTCTCTTAATGTCATCATGAAAAAATAATAGATCAGGAGCTGTAATGGGCTGCTGTAATGCCAGCTCCAGTCATTCTTTGCTGACATGCAACAGACTTGTAAATGACTGACTTTAGTTTGTAAGGAATTAAACAGATCTCCCTTCGGTTTTAAAAAGAGAGGTCATACAATTTCCTTGCACCTGCCCAGGAATAGGACATGATCTACAGTCAGATCTAATGCACTAAAGAAACAGAATAGAAAGAAATATTTCGTATTCCTGATTAACAACTAATTTTATTTTCCTTTTTATATCCAAATAAATATGCATCTGGAAGAATCAGGGATGAAAGAGGGAAAGGTTCAGGGTTTTTTTGTATCAAATGCAGGGAATATTGCAGAGGGAAACTGATGTACTAAACGCATCTTTCATTTGTTAAGTTGGTCTTTGTGATTTTAATTATTTCAGTTATTGAGATGCCATACTTCAAAGTAGCTTATAGTATTTCTAACATATTGTATTGAAATAAGAGAAAGGCAGAGGGTTCTGAAGTAACATGTTATTATTGGACGTAATGATCCATAGCACACTAATTACTCATCTCAGTCATGCCCAAAAAGTATAGTATCATTTAATTCCCCCTACTCCCTAGACAATTCTTCACTTTGTTTTTTTTTTCTTTCCTGAAAGGTAATTTGCATGTGATAAAATGTTCCCCACTGTTTTGTTTTGGTTTGGTCTTTTTCCCCAAGTACTACTGCAAACCTTCACTAAAAAATGCTGGCTAAAATTATACATTTGAGCAATGGAAACATCATCCTTTTGTGTGACAAATTTATAATCTTGTGTAGCACACAGTGATAATTACCCATACTAAATATACTATATTAGACTTGCTTTCCACATCTGAAGTAAAGTTGTTATACAGAATCTTTTGCACCTGGAGAAGTATAAAAAGAATGGCACAAAACATGTGAAGAGGTCAAGAAGAACCAATAAGCCCTATTACTAAATACATCTTATTTTCCCTCTAAGGTTCTCAGTCACCACAAGTGGCAGGGACAAAGAACAGGATGATGCCCGGGCAGTCTTAGGGCATTCCCCAGCTCTAAAAGATGAGTTGAAGTTTGGGGTGAATTTTGGCCTTTGCTTCCAGATCAACAACATTTTTTGCCAGAAATGCTCCCAGCTCTGTTCATGCTTTTCACTTCTTGGGCATAGCTGGACATAGATGGAGGGGATTGGGTGCAGACCAACAGGTGTCATATTAAAGGGGAACTTTCTGGGACTAGGGAGGCTCAGATGACTGTAAGGAAGCTACCAACTCAGGTAGTTAGAAGTTTCTATTTCAATATATCTAGCATTGAAGACTCATAACTATGAATGATGGCATTTGAATGGTATTTTATTTCATGTACTGAGATGTAAAGTGAAAACTTAACTTCCCTTTATGCAAATAGCTGCAACTGTTTCATAGTGTTATGCTGGAACTGGACACTAAAATGCCACTAAATGTTAAATATTTGCTAAATCAGTTTTACAGCAAGTGCTGATGACTTTTTGATGATTTTTCTGTTCCAGTGCCGTGTACTGTTTCTTTTAAGCAGACAGAAAACAGATCCAGAATATTTCAAGGACAAAAGCAATCTGTTGTCTGATATAAAGCAGCTACATTTGTTTACTAAATTTCATTTTGATATGTACTCAAGCAAAACCAATTTAAGCTAAGGTAACCTTTAAAGAAGAGAAATGTGCAAAGTATAATTCTTTGAAAGAACCACAATTTTATCGCTGTGTCAGAAGGTCAGGGTACAGAGAAATCTCTTCAGAAAGAAAAACTTGAAACATGTCTGCAATAACCACAGCAGAAAATAATTTCACCTTAACAAGAAAGGACTTTCTTCTATCCCCAATTACCACTTAGAAAGTCACCTGGCTCATAGGAATTCTCTTTGAATGCAAATTAATTTTTCCTTAAATCGAATGTGTCTCTCTACATATATTGCCAAATTTCCTGTTTACAAGGACACTTTCAGATTGGAAGATGACAAACCTAAGATGTTCAAAAAGTTAGATTTTTTTTAACAAAGATTTATTAAGGATATGTTTCATCAGCAAACAGCTTTATATAACTGCAAAATAACTTTCAGAAACTGCTGTCAGAAACTTTTCATGGTCTTATCCTGCCCTAAAATAGGAAGTTATTGAGCCACACAAAAGCAGTGATTTTTCAAAATTAAATATATGTGACCTATAATTAACTACTCTTCCTCAGCTACAGTAGCACATGGGCCTGCTCAGACAGTCACTTACACACAAGGTTATATTCTAATGTACTTCAACAGGCATAGACAAGGGCCCACTGTTAATCTTAGATATAAGTAGAAAGTGAACAATAAACTGATAATAAATGGCTTCTCAGGGTATTCACTTCTGTTCAGGAAGTGTTAGTTACCTGATTTACAATTCCTTTTAATACCTGCCATGTGCACACTGCTGCATCTGCATGCTATAGCAGTGAAACACTTCCACTTGGGTGCACTTAATTAGCAATTCCTGTGAGAAATCAGTCATCAGTTTAAGACAACAGCAACACATACAGCTCCCAAGAGTAAGAAAAGTTAGTGCACAAAGCAGCAGTTTTCAAAGTCAGTTTTTTCAGTAATAAAAGCAGGACACAGCAGGGAAGAACACATAACCCAAGGGCCAAGCTTTCCCTACAGAAGGACAACACAGTATTTCTGTGCACTACCTGTTGGTCATCTTCAGTGGTGTAGCCTTCTTCTCCATGCCCTCTTCTTTATTGATATGTATTTCCAATACCTTTCCCTGTTATTCCTCAGTTCCAAGTGTATGAGGTTTCTTGGTGCAGTACTTACCTAGGATACTCTCTTCCCCAAAAGAAAGGCTTTTGAAGTTCTCCTGCTGGGAATCCTGCAATAGCAAAAACAGTAATAGTGAGGTCCCTAGTTCAGTACAGCTGAATAACAGTCACAGGGCCCAAGGGTTTGGATTTTTTGACCTTTTCAATACAGTTTCAGAAGGCTTTGCTAGAGGAGCTTTCCCTCAGGTGGTAGTTATAGAATGTAGTAGAGAGGATCTTTGAGAAGCAGAGATCCTCTCTCCTTCAGGACCACAATGGCAACAAGGTGCTGCACTGCAAGAACTTCATTTTCTTCCATGGCTACACACGTCTGTATGTGTGTAGCATGTGTTCCTGTGAAAAAACACCTAGTGTTTCCTGTGAAGAAAACCCTTGGGTTGCCCTAAGAGGTGTTGACATATAGTTAGACAATATATAGGTAAAATACAACAAGAATTCAGAAAGTGTTAGCTTAGTGAAGCTTCTGTGCAGCAAGAGACATATGAAAGTGAGAAAATGTAAGCCTAATTCTATATAGTCTATGAAAATGAAAGGTAAATGAACATACTTAGGCACTTCGGTAAAGAAGAGCTGTAGACTATTAAGGCTGTAGGCAGTCTAGATACAGCAATCACCTGTCTGCTTCTGGTAGACTAACTAGTCAACAAAAACCTGTCAACAGACACTCCAGTGAGTGACGATCTGCTGATGTTACACATAGGAACCAAAATTGTTCTTCAAATTTAAAGTCACATGTCTATTTCTAATTCCTGGATGACACTTCATTGCCACTATTCTGAAGGCAGTGGAACTGAATGTGGTAACAGTTTAACAGCCCAAAGAACTGCTAAATAAAACAGAGATCTATGGTCAAAGTTTTTATATGCTGGTGAACAGTGTCATCCTTCCAGGCTCAAATGTGAAATTTGTTGTCTGGTGTCAGGAATTCCCATCTATAAAGCACAGGCATACACCTACTTTGAAGGTCACCTGGCATGGACATCGCTTTGTCAAGGAAGAACCAGTTTTCTTGGGTGATTCATTTACTTTCCTAGGAATATTTGCTTCAGTTTACGGGTCTCTCTTCAAGAAATCAATTGGATACTCAGACCAAAACAAAAAACACATTCATTTGATTCTCAACCTATTCAATTTTTTGTTGATAGATAGGACAGAGATTTCTTTATATCTGAGATAAATTGCCAGGTAAGATTTTTGTCCTTTCCTTATAAAGTCTTAAAAGACAGTATGCTGAGTGTAATTCATGTCAAATGATGTGGCAAGTGGCATGTCCTCCTGGTCTGCCCATCTGCTTTTTTCTGCTGCTCCTCCCTGGCTGCCATGACTCCCTATTTGCAATTATCTTACAAAAAATGTGGTTTTCAAACTTATTTTCTGAGTGGTTTTAAATTTTATTTCTCCAGATGCCATTTTGTTGTTTCAAGCATGTTATCATTAGCTTTTCAAGTGCTACAAAACACAATTGTGCCAATGCCAAGGACAAAGTTTTCCTGATCTAACTCTCTTTGTCTCCCAGTGCATGCAGAAAAGTATTTACTATGTATGTTTTTAAACATCTCACAGCAACAGCACACTCTCACAGCCTGATGAAAATTGCTTGTTAGTACACCAAGTTAAAAGCTGATGTTAAGAGCTAGAAATCTAGTTTCAACTACCTTACTTGGTTCCTTCCAAATACTGAACCTCAGGAAAGCTTTTTGGACATGCTAAAGAGACCATTTAATGAAGGAGTCATTAGGGTCTGCTAATGCTGAATGATCCTCTCCCCACAACAACAGATGAGAGGAACTGTGGCCAAAATGAACAAATGAGCTCATATTGAAGATGGTATGAACCAAGGTAACACAGTCACCCCATGAATCATGTTTAGGTATCACACAATCTTATGTGCCTGTCACCACACCAAGAGGCTATCAAGATCTTGTAAGGAGCTGCAATTATTTTGTCCAGATATAGACTTGTGTAGTGAATTTGCACTTGTCTGTGTGCCAGGTAGAGGTAATACACAATATTTGCAGTAAACTAGGTGCAAACCTTCACTTAGGATCAGCCATCAAGAAATATAATCTAGAGGTTTCTTCACAGAACACTGCTGAAACAGAGTCAGATGTGAGTTAAGACATAAGATAAAGTTTTCACTGTACAAGTCATATGGGAAGAAGCTCCAATCCCAAATCCATACAACAGGTTGATAATTATTTTACTCAAAGTCAGGATCCATTTTATGTAAGACATGCCTGAGCATAGAGCTTGTTGAAGGAGTGGTGTCTGCTTCTGGGCAGTTGTGTGAGACACCTTTGTAGTTTGATTGCACTAATGGAAGCTTATGAAGTATTTTCAGGCCAAAACGGAGTCAGAAGCCACTAGAATGTAACACACATTTTTAAAAAGAACTCTGGGAACTGGAATGTATTACCCACAATAGGATTTTTTTCTTCTTTTTTTAAGAAAAAAAAATATCTAGTATTAAAAGTGATTCTTGGGCATCTAGGAAAGCAAAGGTGTCCCGCTCTGCAGAGATTAGTAGTACTAAATGAGGAAGGGTGCTTGTCCACTATTGCAGTGCTAAAAGGAACAGATTCAGAGTTAGCAACACAGGGCATCCGTCTGTATGCCCTCATCTCCCTCAGGTAAACATCAACCAGATCATCCTTGGAGGGAACAAGGACAATAATGTCTTAGACCTAGAATCTCCTTGAAATTATAACAAGATAGATCACTTGACAGTTTCTTATTTTGTGCTGTTTCAAATACCTCAATTTAGTCAATTCCCTTGTGAAGTCTGTTTCTTGTTTGCTTGGCATATTGTACCTAAAGGAATTAACAACAAAACTCAGAGAGCTCATAGTAGGCTGTAGCAGCAATAAATACTAATAGTATTATTTATATGTCACTGGAGTTCAAGCAAGCAAAGGAGGAGTAAGATCTGGAGGAGTAAGTCAGCCAGACTTCAGAGAATTTCACATCTTAAGGAATGGATAAAGGCACTGGGAAAGTACTTTAAGCTAACACTTCACCATAAATTTAGCCTGTAGTACATCTTTGCATGCTTTCTCCCTCTACACAGCCCCAGAAGAGGGATATGGTCTGAAAGTCTCTCTCCGTACACTTTATTGCTAGTGCAGGCTCAGAGTCTACACTCAAGGCCATTACTCACCCACAGCACACAGAAAGAAAACTGTGTTGTCCTATTACAGACCCTACACAAACCTATCTTCCATATGTAGGACCTGGACTTGCAGAATCTGACTTGTCTACCTTCTTACAACCTACCTACTTTTGGAGAAATGTCGTAGGACTGCAACATCATTCTGAGATAGGCAGTGGTATCACATGTTACAAGAGCACTGGAGGTCTGTGGACAACTGAGTTCAAGCTGTTACAGAACAGCACTGATACCCTACATCCATGCATCTTACAGGTGACAAAGTGGGACATCCTGGCTAGATCATCCTCCAGATGGGCATTGTGCCACTGACCACAACACTTTAAAGCCCAGCAGTTCTGATCACAGCTCTTTGAGCCCAGAAGTTCAACCAGTTTTCAGACCGCCTGACTATCCATTTGTCTAGCCCACTCTTCAGCAGTTTGTATTTGAGAGTGTTAGGGGAAACAATGCTGAAAATCTTGCTAAAGTCAAAATGAATCACATTCATGGCTCACCCCTCATCCACCAAGCTAGTCATCTCACCATAGAAGGCTGGTCAAGGAAACTGTTTCCAGCATCTAATTCATCATGTACACAGGGACTGATATGAGGCTGACCAGCCTGTAGTTCTATGTATCTTCCTTCTTGAAGATAGGAGTGATGTTTGCTTTCTTCCAGTTCCCAGGAACCTCCCCCAGTTACCACAACCTTTCAAAGATAATCAAGAGTGTCCTCACAATAACATCAGCTAGCTCCTTCAGCACTTGTAGGTGCACCCTGTCAGAGCCCACGGACTTGTGTCTTCTCAGTCTGTTTAAATATTCCCTAACCTTCTCCTCTTTCACTGAGGGTAAGCCTCCTTGCTCCAGATTTCACCTCTGGTCTCAGGGGTATGAGATTCCTGAAATCCAGTCTTACCAGTAAAGACTGAGGCAATGAAAGCATTGAGTACCTTGGCCTTTCCCATGTCATTTTCCACCAGGTCTCCTGCCTCCATTCAGCAGTGGGACCACATTTTCCCCTAGACTTTCTGCTGCTGCTGCTACACTTGCAGAAACGTTTCTTGTTGTCCTTCACATCCCTTGTCAGATTAATCTCCAAGTAGGCTTTAGCTTTCTTAACCCCTGTGTCTGGACCCTTGGAAAGAGACTCTGCTGAACTTCCTTCTTACTCACCTTACTGCTCTGGAACACAGGGGCACTTCAAACAGTGGAATACATCTAGCTTACTTCAAACATTTCACTCTGAATTTATGCTGTGAAGCCCTGACAGCACTCTTTACCTACACAGGACTACTTTTAACTTGACTGAAGGTTTCTAGCTTCATTTTATCCATTACACAATTCTCAGCTTCTCTTCACAACAAGGTGCTATAAAGCTTGTTAGAGTGCATTTCAAATTTGAAACAATTGTTTTTTTCAATTTTACAGGGGCTTTACTGACATTAATGAATCCATTTACCAGGTAATACCTTCATGGTATTATTATACACATTTTGCAGATGAATGCCCTGAGACTCAGTTACTTCACCAAGGAGACACAGCAATCACATTTCATCTGATAGCTCACTGAAACAGTGCAGACTAATAATGGATGAAGTACACTAAAATCACATGAGATGGCTCGCCAAATCATGGGGAAATTTGGAGTTCAAATCTAAATATGAATCCAAATTCTATAGTTCAATTACATTATTCAGTTATATTGCAAGATATTTTTAGCTAAGCAAGACAAGAACTAGTAAAGCCTTATTCCATGTTAGTGAATTTACAATTTCCAACAATTAGTTGATTTGTTTAAAGCAACTTCTGACAGGCTAGTGAATCCAGCATGTAAATAATGGATACAGGAAACAGCCTTGCTAAATTATGTGATATACAAGGTACTCTGCTGATTGTTGTA